CCCCCCAGCCTCGCCTCCCTGCCCGTGCCGGCTGCCACCAGCAGCCTTCCGCGGAACGCACCCGCCCGCCCCGGGCTCGACCGGAGCCACCGCAGGCATGGCGGCATCCCCATGATCTCTCTCCGGGCCCCGGGCACGGGGACCCCACGCAGCCCCCGTGGAGAGCCCAGAGCTCCCGGAACCCGCGGGACAGAGCCAAGCAGCATGCGGGTGGAAGGCCCCGGTGAAAGCCTAGGCTCACCTTCAAGTATCTCACTTTTCAGTGTGAACCAGCTAAACTGGTTTCAAAGCCCCGAGCTAGTTCCAATGGACTAGCATGAACTAAACCAAAATATACTTCATCCACAACCAAGTTTGCGCCAAAACACGTACTAGTTGAAGGAACTGCATGGCCCCTGTGGTTGCATTTGGTTGTGTCTCACTGGCCGCTCTTCACATCCTATTTAAAACGTATGGGTTAAACCCACAGACAACATCAACGCTCAGCTCACCAACTAACGTACTACAAGAGACCAGCTGGAGTGCGGATGGCACGTATGTGGGAATGGCATCGTACGCTGCAGGAAAGAGCAGGGTGATTACATACTGCCCTACAGTGAGATCTGAAAGCTTTAATCACACGAGTTACATAAGGGACCTCAATTTAAAGTGTTCTTTTGCATCCAGAGCAATTACGGTAACGGACAAAGCTGTTAGAAGAAAGACGGGTCTCATCTGTCTAATGTATAACTAAAAAGCAAGCATCACACGTACAAAAAGCGTATCACAGGGTGCTGCTTTACTCACCTGCACGCCTTCCCTGCAGTGTCAGAGCTGTGCCGGTGGCCGGCTGAGGCCAGGCTGCCCACCCGACTGCGGCATTGCTGGTCGTTCCCCTGGCGCTCTCAGTCCCAGGGCGTCAGATGGAGGAGCAGCAGCCATCACAGAAAGATCAAACCAAACAAATTGGGTGTCAGAAGCTACAAAAGTCTGCGTCAGTTTAACCCATACCTTAGTTCATATCGCATTAAAGTCTTTAGAGAACAGGTAAATTTTGAAGTCTGATTCCCCTTATTTGTATTAAGAATACTCCTGTCCTGTTTAGTGCACTCTCTACATTCATCTTAAAAATCATGTTAAATACCTTCGTGGGTTGTTTTTTAACAATGTTGACCACGACTCCTGATGAAAAAGTTACATCATGGTCTTCAGCATCTGCTACCCTACTGCCCCTCAGCTGTAAGGAATACTTTTTTTTTTTTTTTGCCTCCTGGCTGCTCTGCAGCGCATATAAATGATAATAGCTCCGACAATTAATACAAGCTATCCCATAGTGAAGTTGGGAAAGCTTTTCTTTTTAAAAAACCAAAACAATAGCAAACCAGAGAAAATGGCAAACAGATAATACAGCCTCTAAGAGGTGTTTACACATATTCTGTGTGGGATTGTTCCAAACAAAAAGACAGTAAATAAGCATGACGTGAGGAGGGTCAAGAAGCATAAATTTTTACCCACACATGTTTTTCTCCAGATACTATTGCATGCAAAGAGAATAACAAAACTTAAGTTACATTTTCAGGATGCAAACTTTCCAATTACTTCAATATAAGACCCTTTTTCAGCCTCAAACTGTCCCTGTACCAATGGTCATGGACCAGGTTAATGGATGTTTCTCATCCAATAAAGGTACTTGAATCTGCACCTCAAATTAGTTCTTTTCCAATTAATTCCATCTCCTTCCCTCACAAACTCTAGGCAACAGCAACAATACAGAAAGTGTAAACCAAAGTACAGTCAAAATGCAGAGTAAATAATCCAAGTGAGGGAAGCAGAAGAGTTCAGATGCAAAATGTAACAGACTTGAAATATTTGTTGTGGAGGAGAAACACCAGAAGTGACAGAAGCCCAAACCTTCAAGGAGATATAGAACCAAGATCTCAGAGTACCAGAAAGTCACTGAATGCAGATTTCACAAACCCTTATTATAACAGCATCTTTTAAAACACAGATTAATATATAAAATAGAATCTGCAGTCTTATTTTAAAAGGCATTTCCTTTCAATCAGAAAAAAAAAAAAAAAAAAAAGAAAGGAACACCCAGATTCTCTTTTGGACTCAGAATTTTGCTTTGTAGGATACAAATTAAAGCTGGATAGGAAATACAGGGTGGAAAACAGCAACAGCTTATCAACTGCAATTGAGGTGTAATAGAAGAGCGACCCAGAACAGCATGGAAAAATGTGGAGGGATGCAGAGAAAAGTGGTTTTGTTTAAGAGGATCTGGGCAGCAGACTTAGGATAGAGACACTGCTGCTGACTTACTGGAAGTTACTGCTATGTTAAAGGAACAGATTAACTTCACCATTACTTGTAAAGACTTTTTTTTCCTGGATTTTATTTATTGCCCCCTGCCAGAGATTCTTTGGAGTCTCATAATATAAATACTTGCTTTAAGAGGAAATGTAAAAACCAAATGAAAACAATCCCAACAAAAAACCTCCACCCCATACTTCAAGGCCCTAAGTGGTTTACTACTTAAGACGACTCACATTTTCCTTCAAGCCCAGGCAGGCTGCTCCATCTAGACCATGACAAATCCATTTTGTTCATCCACATTGGCTGCATTTCCTTTGGGAAATACTTAATATAGTCACAAAATACACACTGTCAACTCATCCCAGCAACATGAAGCACACACGCATGCCTCCAGACACGCCAGGGATCCTCACAGACTTGCAAAACACCCAATATACAGTTACATTTTGGCAAGTCTTTTTAATTTAAGGCTCATCTTTGGTGAGTCCTTTTAATTAAAAGTTCATCTTTCAGGGACTCGGTACAAAACTCCTCCACTACACAACAGGAAGAAACTCTCACTGC